TTGTGGCTTGATGAAGGCATTTAGGTCACTACAACCAACAAACCATATAGAAACATTTTAAAGACGTAAAGGAAAGCAATCCATAGCTTTCAAGTCTAAGTAAGTTCTTATGAAGAAATACAGTATTTGTGGTTGATCTTAAATGCTGTGGACTTCAGGAAACACTGCTCCATTCATGATGAACTTTCTAAAAATACATTGTCTTCAACATCATCCAAGAGCATATAACACATCAGGTGCTTACATTTGCACTTGAGTGATATCTTTGCCCTAACTTGGCATATTTCCCTCATAAACTAGTACAGCTATTTCTTCTTTGGTGTTTCATTCATCAAATTCAGCTGTCGTATGTTGAGCCACTGGTCTACCTTCATTTTGCTCACTCTCCTCTAATTCTTCCGTGGGCAAAGGCTGTATTCCTGGATAAAGCTTTCAGGCAGAGGAGAGGCCAGTTAGCTCAGCACCTGCACCTTATTATATTTTACTAGCCATTTAACAACTTTTCTCTTCTTCCAAAATTTCATATTTTAAGTCAGGACCACCCAAAAAAGATAAAAACCATACATCCTGTCATTCACCAATTGGAATAGGAGCTAAAATTGGCATTGAATGTTAGAGCTTATTAAATGGCTTGATTACATTATATGGGATAGCCTACCCTTAACAGAACTGGGAGGGAATTAGAATAATTCAACCATATAGACAAGAATCTGAGGCTTAAAGAGGTAAAGTAGTATGAACAAGATAATAATTAGTAGAGCCAGGCTCAAACACAAGTCTTCTTATCCTAGCATGTGAGCAGGGACTTTGTTTGATTCACTCATCTGTGTCTAGATCCTAGAACAGGGCCCAGTACATGGTTAGCTCCCAATAAATATTTGTCAAATGAATGCATTATAATCCTCATGTGCTTTGCTCTGCGTCATGCTGCCTTTGTAGGAAACACATAATTCTGCTACTTTGAATGATGTTCACCCTCTGGTTTCTGGTATTCTCTTTCCCACAGTCCATCCAATGTTTGCTCCAAACTCAGGTGACTGCCACCCAGACCTCTAACAGCACCCACGTCTCTCTACAGCATGACTCTGTTCATATTAACTTATGATACAGCTGAGCACTTGGTCATGCACTAATCTGTATTGGCTTCTAATTGTATGTTTGTCTTGTCTCTCAGTTCCTCTCAGTCTTTTTTATTTCAGCCAACCCAGGTGTGTCTGTGTGAATCTGCAGGTGAGATTCATTTGTACTGAAGATTAAATAGCTAAACTGCAAAATTTTGGCAAGGCAGCAAGCTGAATCCTTTTAATTCTTGCTACTACAGTGAAAAGAAGGCAGAAAAACCCATCACAATCTCCAACATCCCACCCCAAACATAAGAAATATGTCTAACAAAATAATTACTTTGATAGAGTAAATAATAGTTTTAAACCCTCTTATTTCTAGGACTATAGGAATCGAACTAAGTAGTAGATAGTAAAAGAAAGGAAGTCACATGGAAGATTCTTCTAGGTGTCAATCCATTTCCTGCTAAAACCAACAATAGCCTATCAGACCCCGCCAGCCCCAGGACAGAAGATAATTTTGTTTACAGTAGGTGTTTTGCATACTGAATTTGTAATAAGGAGAGTCACACCTTCAAGAACTTGTGCAGAAAGTTCCACCTGGCTGATGGCTCCCACAATATTCTAGTGAGGAGAAATTCATGAAAACAGCAGCACTAACCAGGAGCCATACCTGTAAGTGCTTTTTAAATCCTGTACATATGGTACATATGAATATGGATATAGGTGTGTTGCTTAATAAATAACTTCACGTTTTTCATTGTGTAGATCACTCATTCTCAGTTCTTAAGTAAATAAGAACTTACTTACATGCACTTAACAAGCATCTACCTTGCTAAGTGCTCATGACAGGGTAATCACCATACAGGTGCCTAGAATGAGCTGATGGATGAACAGACTGCCTGGTGAGTTCAATTAATAAACCGACATCAGTATGGCCCCAGATGAGAACACGTAAGAGGGCTTTCACTCAAGCTCCTTTCTTCTTTGAGTCTACGTTTCTTATCTGCATACTTTTCCCATATCCTGACCTTGAGGAACACAGAAACTTTTCTTGGGGCCTCTCCCTCACCTCCCTATGTTATAGGCTCTTCCTAATACCTCTTGCAGATGACATTTTTGGGTAACTCTCTGGCTACATGGACTGATGGTGGCTTTCTATTTCACTATGTCCTATCTGCATCCTCTGGCTGTTCCCTTAGTTTAGCTGAAACCCAGGAGCTATGTCCAGTATTTCTTCTTTATCCCCTACAGATATAAGCCAAGGGCAAGTGTTCAATATGTATTTATTGCATTAAAGCTCACTGAATTCTAAGGTTATAAATGCATAATTGTCATGCTGGTCCCCTACCAATTTCAATAAGGATGGTACCATGTTCAAGAGGCCAAAGAAAAGACCTGGAGCCAGCAAACAAGACATAGGGTTTACACACAGGGCAGTTCAGTGCCAGTAGGCGGGACAGGAGAACTACAACTGCTTAAAAAAGGAATGCAGTTTATATAGCATTTTCACTTAGCACCCTCCCTCAGCAAACTCCACCTGGCAACTCTCATTTAACCCAAAACAAAGGGCCTCAACGCCCTGTATGGCCTGTATTCCATGGGATGGACCAGGGGCTCAGCTATTCCTTACAGATAAGGAGTGAATCTCTGGGTTGGCCACTCCCAGATTCCTTAGCTCAGAACTCCAAACCTACATTCTTCTTTGACCACAGGGTGATTCTCAGCTGTTTAAGTTATTGCTGTCAGGTGCATCTGCGATACAGGGTCATTCTCAGGGTATACTTCAGTTATTGGTGTCAGATGTGTCTGCCATACACAAATATTTTCAGGTATTAAAATGTAATAATTAAAACATGGATTATTAACCTGTGCTCTGTAAATGGATTTCACTGGAATTCCCTTCAAGCTGTATGAAAATTTTCATACTGGGTACAAATGTTCATTTTTCTGGAAGGGGGATAATTAACCTTCATCAGCTTCTCAATAGGATCTACTACCAGAAATGAGAGGCCTGCTACCAAAAACCCTGTAGCAGCTGCAGAAAGGCCAAGAGATCTGATCTTTCTGTAAGTAGGTTATGTTTCTGCAGACTCAACAATCCTCTTTGTTATATAAGACCCCTGTCAGGAAAGACAAAAGGGCATCAGTGTAGACTACAATTTCTTCAAAAGTAATATTTACAAGATTTGTTTACGTTGGAGAATCCACTCTAAAGGTTACACTTTTTTTTTAAACAGGGTCTCACTTTCTCACCCAGGCTGTAGTACACTGGCACGAACATGGCTCCCCAAGCCTCAGCCTCAAAGGCTCAAGTAATTCTCCCACCTCAGCCTCCCAAGTAGCTGGAACTACAGGCACATGCCACTGCACCTGGCTAATTTGTGTGTTTCTTGTAGAGATGCGGTTTCACCATGTTGCCCAGGCTGGTTCCGAACTCCTAAGCTCAAGTGATCTGCCCACTTCAGCCTCCCAAAGTGCTGAGATTACAGGCATGAGCCATCAGGCCCAGCTGGTTACACCTTGATGGTCATGGGCCTAGCAAGATGCAACTACAGGAAAGAAGTGGAGTCTGTCTAAGAAAAACATCTGGCAAAATTAGCTCCTGTCCAAAAAGCCAGGGTAAAGAGTCTCTTTTGCAGAAATATTTGAGAGTTTCATCAATTTTCCCAAGAGCCTCTCTTTATCCTTTAATATTCAAATCATTCTCTTTCAAGGGGCCTCTCATGCCACTATCACAGCTGATTTTCTGTTCTTCACTTGTTAACTGGTCTAACTCTGCCAGATTCTCATTTCTCAATGATAAGACTCCCAGCATTGCTTACATGAAATCCTGCATTTTGTGTAAGATTTGCAGTTTCATATTTCAATTTGCCTTGTGTTTGCATTGAAACATCAGATGTTGATACACTGGGTGGGCTGGACACAAGGATTAAGCAGGAAGGTATGTCTAAGAGCAGATATTTTATAATTAGTCAGTTAATGAGCTAATACTTTCATGCTGCTATATTCTAACAAGTTTGTAACTGCTGTGACTTAGGTAATAAATATTCAATTAATGAGGACCCCTCCTGTACATCAAAACGTTAACAGCAGTGATATCTGAGTAGCAGGATTATGGGTAACAAAAGTAATAAGTGATATTAATTGTTTGCTATGAATGTTAAGCACTTTACAAGCATGACCTCATTCAATGGTCACAGAAACCCCCTGAGAGAGCTACGATTATTTTCCCTCTCTTCAAATGAGGAACGTAAGGTTTAGAGAGGTTAAAAATACTTACCCAAGGTCACATTGTTATGTGGCAGGGCAGGGATTTAACACAGCTTGTCTGACTTCAGAGCCCAGACCCTTAACCTCCCCACTTATTTGTATTTTCTTTTTTAATACAAAGAAAATTTATAACTAGTGCCATAACAGGAGAAAGTGGCTGTTTCTTTTTTTTTTTTTTTTTTTTTTTTTTTTTTTGAGACGGAGTCTCGCTCTGTCGCCCAGGCTGGAGTGCAGTGGTACAATCTTGGCTCACTGCAAGCTCCGCCTCCCGGGTTCACGCCATTCTCCTGCCTCAGCCTCCCGAGTAGCTGGGACTACAGGCGCCCGCCACCGCGCCCCGCTAATTTTTTCTATTTTTAGTAGAGACGGGGTTTCACCATGGTCTGGATCTCCTGACCTTGTGATCCGCCCGCCTCGGCCTCCCAAAGTGCTGGGATTACAGGCGTGAGCCACCGCGCCTGGCCGAAAGTGGCTGTTTCTTAAAACCACTGAGCACAACTACCATTTTGTACAGATTTTCAAAGTTATATTTCCCAATCTGTTTATGGTCCATTTCGTAAGTCCCACCTCCAAAGTTTATTTCTCTGGGCCTTTATTAGAACTGGTACTTAAATTTCTTTCTACAAAATGAATATTTTAGTCAAAGATTTTTAGCTACTAGCTTACCTCTGGCTGGAAGCCTATGGCTTTTGTTGTTTTCAAATTTCCTCTTTTGGCAGGAATATGAACTCATCTCTTTCTCCTAAGCTCCTCAAAGCAGAGAGGTTACTTAGAAAGCTGAACTACAGAGGAAGGGCCAGAAACTGTATTTTATCCTGCAGGGGACAAGAAAGATGTGCATTTTTTCATTTGTAAATATTTGTTCATATTCTTTAATCATTTGTTCAGTAGACACTAAATATTATCTGTATATATTTTTATTCATTTTACATGTTATTAATAGTAATGCCTTAACCACATATATGAGACTGCTAAAAAATATACATAAGTAGCCTTGAGAAGCAAACAGGAGACTATAGGAACAGAAGAATTACGGGAGGGAGTGGAGGTAGGAAGTCCTCAGACAGACTTTAGGAATGATGAGGAGATAATGGAAATAACATGGCCCCGAGAGGCAGACTGGGGAGGGCATTACTCCCAGAAGCCCTCTGATGTTTCCCTTTCCCACAACAGTGTTGGCAGCAGCTCTGTGGCAAGGGTGGTTGTGACCAGTACAAAGGGAGCTTGTCTAAGCTATGGTGCCATCAACAATGGAATATCTTGACACATTAGACACTGGGTGGGCTGGATACCATTTGCCAAGAAGAGCAGCCAAACAGCAGAATCCCCAGGACCTCACGTGACCCCTTGTGATAGCAACATCAGGACTTACTGGATACTTGTTAGATTTTTCCAGTTTTTCTCCAACAACCCAGCATATCAAAGAATGATATCTGGACTAAATAAACCCATGGATGAAGAGACTTCAAAAGATAAAATAAAGAATTTCTTGACAGTGTGATATGAACTTAAAAGTACCCCAGGCTGGCGAAGTAGTAGTGAGATATACTTACAGAGTAGGTCTACTCTTTTATATTATTTTCCCTTCTATCTTAGTTTAATTGATTTTTATAGAGCAGAAATTTGAGGCCTTTTTAATATAATTAAACCCATCAGCCTTGTTTATAATAGTTTTCTATTGCTCTAACAAAAATTCACAGTCCTAAGGCATGCCCTGTGCTAAGTATTAGGCAAAAGACTAGAGGGTCTCATTCAATTCAACAAAGGCTCTAGCCCTGTTGCCCTTCACAATCTGTGTAACAATTCTTTTTCATGTCTTACAATTTTGTATCCTTTTTATAACATCACATCCTCTTTGTTTACAGTATATGGAATGAGGCATGGATCTAAGTTTATTTCTCTCCATACCAATAATTAGTATACCTAAGAAAAGGGGTCTACAAACTATGGCTTGTGGATTTGGTTTGCTGCCTGTTTTTATAAATAAAGTTTTTTTGGAACACAGTTACACTCACTTGTTTACATACTGTCTGTGGCTGCTTTCACACTACAAAAGCAAAGCTGAGTAGGTGCAAAGTCAAAAATACTTACTATCTTGCCCTTTACACAAAGTTTGTCTACTCTTACTTAAAAGCATTGATCACATAATTATTCCTTTATCATTTTATCTCATCTCATTTGTTGTTGCTACTGACTACATCAAGAGCTCTCCTTTTCAAGTCACAGTACTAAAGGTACCAGGAAATGTAAATAAAAATTATATACATATATGTGTGTAAAAGTTTGTGTGTGTGTGCATGTGTGTGTATACATACATATATAGTGTGTGTGTATTTTAAAGCCAGCCAAACGTTTTCTTTACGGGCTTTTACTATTATATTTTAGGTAAATTATATTAATTAAAATGTTAAAACTTTTTCAAGTTGTAGTTGCGGTGATTTAATATCACCATGATGCACAACAAGCAACTACGATACTCATCGCCATACAATAACAGGCATTTGTTTAGCTTATGCATCCGCTGAGGATTGGCTGAACTAAGAGGGGCCAACTGGGACAGCTCTGGTCTATCAGCCTCCTTCTGAGACCAGCAGGCTAGCCCAAGCGGGTTTTTTTCATTGTGATGGCAGAAACCCACAAACTTTCCTAAGGCCTAGGCTCAGAACTGGCACAATAACATTTCCTTCATCCTGTTGGCTAAAACAAGTCACAAGGTTAGCCTAGATTCAAGAGGCAGGAAACTATACCAAAAAGTGGTGTAGAAAAAGGCAAGACTGCAGGGAGGGATAAAGAGTTGAGGTCAATGATGCAATTTATCACATAAGTGTATATACATAAACACACACAGAGAGTTATGTGTTACTTAACAATGGTGTTCTAAGAAATGCTCTGTTAGTCAATTTCATCACTATGCGAACATCATAATGTACTCACACAAACCTAGATGATATAGCCCACTACACAACTAAGCTGTACGGAACAGCCTACTGCTCCTACGTTACAGACCTGTACGACATGTTACCATACTAAATACTATAGGCAGTTGTAACACAGTGCTAAGTTGCATCTAAACATATCTAAACATGGAAAAGGCACAGTAAAAATACAATATAAAAGATAAAATGTGGGCCGGGCATGGTGGCTCATTCCTGTAATCCCAGCACTTTGGGAAGCCAAGGCAGGTGGATCACTTGAGGTCAGGAATTCAAGACCAGCCTGGCCAATATGATGAAACCCCATCTCTACTAAAAATACAAAAAATTAGCCAGGTGTGGTGGTAGGCACCTGTAATCCCAGCTAATCGGGAAGCTGAGGCAGGAGAATCACTTGAACCCAGGAGGTGGAGTTTGCAGTGAACCAATATCGTGCCACTGTACTCTGGCCTGGGCAACAAGAGTGAAACTCCATTTCAAAAAAAAAAAAAAGATAAAATATGTCACACATGTATTGGGTACTCACCATAAGTGGAGTTTGCAGGACTAGAAGTTGCTCTGTATGAGTCAGTGAGGGATGAAGAAATGGGAAGCCCTAGGACATCACTGCACACTACTGTAGACTTTATAAACACTGTACACTTAGGCTACACTAAATTTAATTTTAAAAATAGTTTTTGGCCAGGCACAGTAGCTCACACCTGTAATCCCAGCACTTTGGGAGGCTGAGGCAGGTGGATCACCTGAGGTCGGGAGTTTGAGACCAGCCTGACCAACATGGAGAAACCCCATCTCTACTGAAAATACAAAATTACCCAGGCGAGGTGGTGTATGCCTGTAATCCCAGCTACTCGGGAGGCTGAGGCAGGAGAAACGCTTGAACCCGGGAGGCGGAGGTTGCAGCGAGCCGAGATCACACCACTGCACTCCAGCCTGGGCAACTGGAGCGAGACTCTGTTTCAAAAAAAAAAGAAAAATTTTCTTTCTTTAGTAATAAATGAACCATAGCATACTGTAACTTTTTTACTTCATAAATTTTTTATTCTTTAAACTTTTTGACTCTTTCATAATGACACTTACCTTGAAACACACACATTGTATAGCTGCACAAAAATATTTTTATATCCTTATTCTATAAGCTTTCTTATTTAAAAACTTTAAAATTGTCTTTTCACTTTTGAAATGTTTTTGTTAAAAACAAAGACACAAACACACACATTAACTAAGGCCTACGTAGGGTCAGAATCATCAATATCACTGTCTTCCACCTCCACATTTTGTCCCATTGGAAGGTCTTCAGGGCCAATAGCACCCATGGAGCTAAAATAAAATAAATAAAAACAAGGAGGTTGAATCAGTGAATTACCCAACATCAAACAGTTTGGAAGGTGCAGAAGCAGAACTTGAATCCAAGTCTGCTATTTCCAAAGGCTTTTCTCTAGGCCACGTTTGAATTATTACGTTTATCTAATATGGTAGAAATACCTAGCTGCCTGCTAAAATTCAATTCCTGTTATACACAGAATAGAATTTTTGTCACCCAGGGGCCATTGAATAGAAGTTCAAAAGAATTATTTCCACCAACAAAACGTGAGCAGAATGCCTTCTTCTGGAATGCTTCCTGAAGGAACTGCCTGAAGCTGTTTCACAGGCTTTTATAAGTAGAAGGAGTATACGCTAAAACAACAGAAGCATGAGGTATTATAAATACAGGCCAGATGCAGTGGCTCACGCTTGTAATCTCGGCACTTAGGGAGGCCGAGGCGGGTAGATCACAAGGTCAGAAGATCGAGACCATCCTGGCTAACACGGTGAAATCCTGTCTCTACTAAAAATACAAAAAATTAGCCAGGCGTGGTGGCCGATGCCTGTAGTCCCAGCTACTAGGGAGGCTGAGGCAGGAGAATGGTGTGAACCCGGGAGGTGGAGCTTGCAGTGAATCGAGATTGTGCCACTGCACTCCAGCCTGGGCCACAGAGGGAGACCCCATCTAAAAAAAAAAAAAAAAGATATTATAAATACATAAACCAGTAACACAGTTGTTTAGTATCAAGTGTTATGTACTATACATAATTGTATGTGCTACACTTTTATATGACTGGCAGTGCAGTTGGTTTTTTAAAAAATATTTACATTCTTATGTAAATAGAGATGAGGTCTCACTATGTTGCCCAGGCTGGTCTCAAACTCCTGAGCTCGAGTGATCCTCCCATCTTGGCCTCCCAAAGTGCTGGGATTATAGGTGTGAGCCATTGTGCCAGGCCATCAGTTGGTTTGTTTACACCAGTATCATCACAGATATGTGAGTAGTGCATTATGCTGTGATGTTAGGACAGCTATGATGTCAGTAGGTGACAGGAATTTTTAAGCTCTATTATATCTTTGGGACCACTATGTGCTTCATTGTTGACTGAAACATCATTATGCTGCACATGACTGTATATGTGTGTGTGTGTGTGTGTGTGTATTTGAACTTTAAAGCACATTTGCATTTTTACATGCATTCCAACCTGACAAAGGTCCTAGGAATTAGATATCACCACTGTTGTCTTATAAAAATGAGGAAGCTGGACAGGTGCAGTAGCTCACATCTGAATCCCAGTGCTTTGAGAGGTTGAGGCAGGAGGATCACTTGAGGCCAGGAGTTCAAGACCAGCTTGAGCAACATAGCAAGACCCTGCCTTTACAAAGAAACTTTTTTTTATTAGCTGGGTAGTGTGCCACATGCCTGTAGTCCTAGCTATTCAGGAGACTGAGGTAGGAGGATTGCTTAAGCCCAAGACTTCAAGGCCACACTGAGCTATGATCATGCCACTGCACTCCAGCCTGGGTAATAGCACAAGACCAAGACCCTGTCGCTAAAAAAAATTAATTAATTAATTAATTAATTAAATAAAAATAAATTTAAAAAATAAAAATAAATAAAAACAAGGAGGTTAGGTCGGGATATCTGAATTACCAAGGTCAAACAGTTTGGAAGGTGCAGAAGCAGAACCTGAATCTAAATCTGTCTATTTCCAAAGGCTTTTCTTCTCTAGGCCACATTTGGATTATTAAATTGATCTAATGTAGTAGAAATGCCTATAAACAAAATTCATTTCCTATTGTAAACAGAATAGAATTTTTGCCACCCAGGGCCCCTTGAATAGAAGTTCAAAAGAATTATTTCCACCAACAAAATGTGAGCAGAAGTGATGTATGCCATGTCCAGCCACAGCTTTCTGGTGAAAGGCCTGACCCCTCCACACTCTCTTTCCCCTTTGGCTAGGTGGAGTAAGAAGACAAGGCTGTCCAATGGACTTTCTGAGATCGTGAACATATTTTATATTTGCCCTATCTCATATGGTATCCATTAGCCACATATGAACACTTGAAATATGTAAAGCACAACTGAGGAATTGAGTTTTTAATATTATTTAACTTAATATAATTTAAATTAAAATGTAGTTACTGGCCGGGTGCAGTGACTCATGCCTCTAATCCCAGCACTTTGGGAGGCCGAGGAGGTGGATTGCCTGAGCTCAGGAGTTTGAGACAAGCCCGGCCAACATGGTGAAATCCCGTCTCTACTAAAAATACAAAACTAGCCGGACATGGTGGTGCACCCCTGTAAATCCCAGTTACTCGGGAGGCTGAGGCACGAGAATCACCTGAGCCCGGGAGGCAGAGGTTGCAGTGAGCCAAGATCACACCATTGTACTCCAGCCTGGGTGACAAGAGCGAAACTCCATCTCAAATAAATAAATAAATAAGTTTTTAAAAATGTAGTCACTGTATTGGACACTGCAGCTGAATAGATGGTGAGGCTGCACAATGGAAGCCTAAGTCCCTGAATCATCATTAGAGGAGAGCAAATACTCTCCTATTATATATCCTTTATAAGTTTTGGGGGGATAGAGAGAGTGTATTTGATTTTACAATTAACCTACCGCTAGTAAAGTAATCCTAATTAATTTAATTTTCGCAAGGATTTCACCAAATAGAGTATTTGCGGGTGAGATTGAAAACAGTTGAGAAGGAATTGGAGAATGTAAATGTTCCCCAAATTGGTAGAACTGTTTGGCAGAGGCCAAATACTGGCCAACACTTTCAGAAGCAAAAGAACACATATCAAACAAACAAATTTTTGGCCGGCTGCTGTGGCAGATCACCTGAGGTCAGGAGTTCAAGACCAGCCTGACCAACATGGTGAAACCCCGTCTCAACTAAAAATACCAAAATTAGCTAGTCATGGTGGCGCATGCCTGTAATCCCAGCTACTTTTGAGGCTGAGGCAGGAGAATTGCTTGAAACCAGGAGGCGGAGGTTGCAGGGAGATCGCGCCATTGCATTCCAGCCTGGGCAACAAGAGCGAAACTCTGCCTCAAAAAAAAAAAAACAAACAAATCTTTAAAATGGTTATAGTGTGATATTTCTATCATTTCCTTCTAATGGTATTATAAATTAAACTCCCTTTTACTACAGAAATAATTTGCCTTTCTCACTGACACATAAACTATCACTTTGAGGCAACCTGACATATAGTATACAACATAAAGGACCTTTTTATAAAACCCACCAGTTCCCTAGAGTGGTTGTACCTTTTATTGGTATTTACTGTAACAACCCAATACTTCTAATGAGTTGTGAAACCTGACTGCCCTGCGTACTTTCAAAATAAATAGCAACGCTGGAGTAGCTCCCTGAACATCACTGCCATTCACCACGGCCGGCGCCCTGCATTACGGATGGGTTTATGCCAGCATCCTAGAATATATGCTTTTATTCTTCCAGTGGGGTTATGAAAGAAAACTTTGAGCATATACTCTTAATTGGCCATTAACATTGTAATTGTGAAGGTTGGGGAAATCTTGGCTCACTGCTCTCTCATATACTGTCGCATGTAGGGATCAGTTGACAATGAAAAGAATATTTACACATTAAACCACCAGAAAACTGATTACTTTTTAGCTTGTGTTTATTTTACAAATAGCTCTAAGTACCACCAGGAAAGGTCACCACGATGGATATGAATGGCAGTGAGTCCTCATTGGTAAATGGGCTGCTGGTTTAATGACAGTCAAGGCTGTGGCGTAGGATGATCCAGAAATCTTTAACACGGTTATAGTTTGATATTTCTATCGTTATCTACTCTCAGGTTTCTCTAGCACCTTTCTCTAGAAAGACCTTTTCACTCTCAGCTTGGAGCCTGTGATTAGGAATCAGACAGAGCCGGTTTATACTGTGGCTCCTTTTCTTACTAGCTGAGTGACCATGAGCAGGTTACCTCTCTGAACCTGTCTCTTCTTCCTTGTGAGGATTCAAGGGAATAGTGCAGATACAATGTGAGGCATGTACTAACTGCACATTGGGAGGATTCAATACATGTAGCTGTTATCTATTTTCAGAGAGTTCTCCATCCTGCCCCTATCAAATGCCACCCCCTAAAGTACAGCCCTAAGTGTCATGTGGCAACCTTGACTCCATTTCATTTCTAAAGCCTCAATCTTACTCAACTGAAAACAGCCTCTAAGATAACTGAGAAACATGGACACGTTTTTAAAAAGCAGATAAAAATGAAGCCACGCCAACAGGTAGTGCACGCAGGTCACTCTGGCTATAGAATGGAGCGATGGGAGATTAGAAGATACACAAAACAGGGCAGTCAGACATCGTCCTCTTGGTACCTTAGATAGAGCTTTCACTGCTTCCCTTACACGGGCTAATGGTTTGAATAATAAACTACATGCCCTTTTATCTTATAAAATAAAATTATTGTAATCATAGAATAGTAATTAATGCTGAGCCCTCCACCTTTATCCTGTTTGTTACCTTGCATTTATATGACTTGCACGCTTATCTCATGCTTGTTACTTAGACGTTGGACATGGCAAGACCCAAGTGACCTGGAGCTTCCTCCATGTGGTCCAAATTCAGATCAGGACTTTCAAATAGTGAATACCATGTGCTTATCAAGGATCTGCCAAGATACTGGCGATTACAGAGGACAAATAACCTACGGATGTGCCCTTGTGCAGCCTCAACTCTCAACTTTCCTGCAAATTATACTCTCTCTCCTTGCTTATTTCTGGCTATTGTTTATGGTTACAAAAAAAGTTATCTAAAGTAAGGGGATTATATAAGATGTTACCATAAAGACAGGGGCCTACTGTAAAAAACATTTTATAAAACATTTCTCCTGTGAGCTACATCTCAACAGCCCATTATGTTTGTCCAGTGAATACTGATTCCAATCAAGTCTTCTAAGCTCCTTCAATTGATCACTGTGTTAAGCTAGGGATTCTGGAAAGAACATCCTTTCTGAGGGAGTGGTACACAAAAATGTAAAAGCGTGTGTGGCAAACACAGTAAGCAGCCAACAAGTATCAGGGCTCCTTTTTTTATAGTGTATTGTTTGTTTCTTGTTTAATTTTTTACCTTTATCTTCTGTTGGACTTGACCATAGTGTAGAGCTGTTAATGGAGCAGCTGTCCAACCAGGGAATAGCTTTTGCCTGACCCCTCACATCTAGGTGGGGTCATGTGACATGTGCCTACTAACGGAATGTAAGTAGAAAGGATATGTGTCACTTCCTGGCTGAGATGATGAAAAAGATGGCATTGCTTTCTCCACACTCTCCTCTCCGGATGTCAATGCCCAGGGTAATATTGGAAACCATATATGGAACGTGGTAGAGCTACAAAATGAAGGAAAAGAATGCTGAAGTCCTGAATCAATTCTCAGAGGCGAGGAGACTGCCTCACTGGAAACAGATTGAACTGTTTAGGGAATGAGAAAGAAACTGTATGTACTGCAGAAACTGATGTTACCTTAATTAATAACATATGTATTAATAATGAAAATCCACTCAAGGCTGGGTATGATGACTCACGCCTGTAACCCCAGCACTTTGGGAGGCTAAGGTGGGGTGGATCACCTGAGGTCAGGAATTCGAGACCAGTCTGGCCAACATGGTGAAACCCCGTCTCTACTAAAAAATACAAAAATTAGCCAGGTATGGTGGCGGGCACCTGTAATCCCAGCTACTTGGGAGGTTGAGGCATGAGAATCACTTGAACCCAGGAGGCAGAGGTTGCAGTGGACCAAGATTGTGCCACTGCACTGCAACCCAGGCAACAGAGTGAGACTCCGTCTCAAAAAAAACAAAAACAAAAACAAAAAAAATCTCACAGAACAGAGGGAAAAGAAGTCAAAATGAGCACGCTTCTTTTCCTCCCTGGGGGCAGCAGAATCTCTAAAGCAGCTGAGACAAATGAATTTTGAATTTGTATGTGAATGATCAGCCTGAATCAGGACACCCTAGAATTCCTTATTATTCAGTAAATGGCCCACTGTATACAGATTCCCCACTTCCTCATCAAATTATGATTCATCTAGGAGTACCAAAAGAAATATGTTTAACAATTAAAATTCTATGGTAATTTCACACTCAACAATGCCTTGTGTTCATAATTTTAATATTAGATTTGATTGAATATTATTAAATACAGCCTATGCCTTCCAAAATGGGTTGCGTGATGGATCTCAATGAACTCATTAGTAGCTAATGCAGTAGAGATCTTTCTAAATGCTAATGTTTAGCTGCCTTTGGCTCATTAATTAATTTAAAGATTGCATAATTATCACAGCTTTTGATTCAAGTACATCTCCCACTTTTTATTATTGGATAATGCTTATTTGCATGTGAGCATAAAAAAATTACATTACGTTATCCAAAGATAGGTAGCATAATACCAAATAATCATACAGGTTATGTATACATTTGAAAAGGAAAAAAGAAAAGTAAGAAGGGAATGTTCTTTTGAACACATGAGGAGTCAGTACCACTACGAATACTTGTCACTAAAACGAGAGTGATAAAACAAAAGCAGGGGCCGGGTGTGGTGGCTCACACCTGTAATCCCAGCACTTTGGGAGGCCAATGCAGGTGGATCATGAGGTCAAGAGATCGAGACCATCCTAGCCAACATGGTGAAACCCCATCTCTACTAAAAATACAAAAAATTAGCTGGGTATGATGGCAGGTGCCTGTAGTCCCAGCTACTCGGGAGGCTGAGGCAGGAGAATCACTTGGACCCAAGAGGTGGAGGTTGCAGTGAGCCGAGATTGTGCCACTGCACTCCAGCCTGGTGACAAAGCGAGACTCCATCTCAAAAAAAAAAAAAAAGGGCAGGGATAGGCAAGGAGTTGCTGTCAGGAGGACAGGAGTAAAATACTCATAAGCACCAAAGGGAGGTCTGGTCACATTAAAGAAAAATAGCCCTGTTCTAAAAATCTTAGCAAGGGAAAATCCAAGCTAACAGGAATACCTGAAATTTGAAGTCATTCTTTATAAATCTGATCACTGGAGTCTTCTTTCTAAGGGGTAGTCAGAAAATTAGACCAATTAGAAACACAATTAGAAAACTTTTGACACTTAACGATTTTCTTTCACAATCAGGGTGAGGATTAAAGGGTACTCACCTACAAAAACGTGGTATGAGATGAGTCTAGAATTAATTCCGGGTCACTGTCATCACACACTCAAGGAGATCTGGCAAATGGAGAAAAATTAATGTAACTGCCCAATGGGTTCACCGGCCCTATCTGGGCCAATTTATTAAGACAGGGGAATTGCAATAGAGAAAGAGTTTAATTCATGCAGAGCTGGCTGAATGGGAGACTGGAGTTTTACCATTACTCAAATAAGCCTCCCCTGAAAATTCAGAGGCTAGGGTTTTTCTTTTTCTTCTTCTTCTTATTTTTGTTCTGTTTTTGTTTTTTTGTTTTTTTGTTTTTTTTTTTTTTTGAGACAGGGCCTCACTCTGGAGTGAGAGCACCGTGGCTGAAGTATAGTGGCATGATCATGGCTCACGGCAGCCTCAACCTCCCTGGGCTCAGATGACCCTCCCACTTCAGCCTTCCAAGTAGCTGGGACTACAGCCACCACACCCAGCTAATTTTTAGTATTTTTGTAGAGATGGAGTATCACCATGTTGCCCAGGCTGGTCTCAAACTCCTGGGCTCCAGTGACCCACCCGCTTCAGCCTCCCAAAGTGCTAGGATTACAGGTGTGAACCACCAAGCCTGGCCCAGGATTTTCAAGGACAGTTTGGTCAGTCACAGAATGGGTGCTGCTGATTGGTTGGGGATGCAGTCACAGGAATGTGAGTCCTCTGCTGGGTGGGGACACAAGACCAGTTGGCAGATCTAGGTGGACCCATTGGTCATCAGAAATGCAAAAACCCAAAAAGACATCCCAAAAGGCCAACCTTAGGTTCTACAATAGCGATGTTATTTGCAGGAGTAATTGGAAAAGTTGCAAATCCTGTGACATTGACCCATTAGCATATTCAGGTTCCACTCCTGCTCCCAACCTGGTAGTCTTTTATTAGCTTTACAAAGGCAGTTTAGTTTAGGGGAAGTGCTATTATCATTTAAACTATAAATGTCTCCCAAAGTGAGAGTGGCCCAACACCAGGAATAATTAAATGCAGTTTGTAGGTTAAAGGCAAGATCGGAGTTGGTTAGATTAGATCTCTTTCACTATCATAATATTCTCATTATTACAATTTTTGCAAAGGAGCTTTCACTAATGTCATATTCTCATACTTAAGAACAAAGGTAAGAATAAGGTGCTGGAGGCATTCAGAGGAAGAGGAGAAGTGAAACTGGGAATGTTATAGGTAGATAGACAGGCATGAGTGGGGCAGGCCAGCGTTCTCCCCAATCCACTAGGAATGTCGGGGGATGGTTTGCAATGATCGCACTGCCTCTCTAAAAATGGTAATTCAGCAGCCATGGAGAGGCAATCTCCTGAGCGTACACACCTGTTAACATTAAAAGTGTGAATTGAATGCAGGCCCCAGGGAGAAGCAGTTTCTTGGGCATTCATTCATGTTAAGGGACAAAATGCTGAAGTAGGATGTCCTGGGGCAACCACCACCGGAAAAAGGGAAAAAGTCTCAGATGGGCATGCGTGTAAGGGCCTAAGCACACTGCACATGCTCAGTTCCAAAGGTTAGGAACGCCTGCGCATGCGGGAAGCCATCCCTAAGGGAAGAACCAAGGGAAAGAAGCCGGCTTATGAAGCTTTAGGATCGCGGTTAAAGGCCTCTTTTTTAATCTCTTTTCCTCTCTCTCGGACCTTCAGGCACTGGCTTGGGTCTTTTCCAAGGGAATTTTCCTTTCTTTCCTGTTATAAAGCCTTCATATTTATTTATTTATTTATTTATTTATTTATTTATTTATTTGAGAGGGAGTCTCGCTCTGTCACCCAGGCTGGAGTGCAGTGGCAGGACCGCGGCTCACTGCAAGCTCTGCCTCCTGAGTTCATGCCATTCTCCTGTCTCAGCCTCCGGAGTAGCTGGGACTACAGGTGCCCGCCACCACACCTGGCTAATTTTTTTGTATTTTTAGTAGAGACTGGTTTTCACGGTGTTAGCCAGGATGGTCTCCATCTCCTGACCTCGTGATCTGCCCGCCTCGGCCTCCCAAAGTGCTGGGATTACAGGCGTGAGCCACCGCACCTGGCCAGTCTTTTTAAATAAACCTCCACTCCTGTTCAGAAACTTGCCTCAGTCTCTTTTTCTGCTTTATTCCCCTCAGTCGAATTCTTTCTTCTGAGGAGGCAAGGACTGAAATTGCTTCAGACTCATGGAGATACCGGCTGGATCTCTTCCACCTCTAACAGGAGTTGTTTTGATAGATCCCACTGACTTCCCTATGATTTCATTATTGGGACATCTCCTTGCGAAGAAGGACAGTATAGACATTTGTGAGGGGACTTTAACCAAAGAGAGAGCTGGCATAAGCAGGATTTAAGTGATGTTGTATTATTATTATTATTTTGATATAGGGTCCAAACATGAGAATCATGGCAAGGGGGATTACAGGGGCTTTACCGCTTCAACTCTCTCTTTTACGCCAACACTCCCAAAATCATGTCCAAGAATGATCACCAATTTTCTGTAACTGTGGCAGTTGCCACTCAGGTAACATTACAAGAAAATTGTCCATGTCTTTATCAACTGAGACATCTAACTCTTTAGCACAGTAAGAAACTAGCCTTGTGCAATCCATAACAGTCAATATTATACAGGACGCCAATAAGAGGTATATTGAGCTGGGATGAAGATCAAGCTGCTGTAACAAACAGTCCCCAAAATACAGTGACTTAAATAAGAAAGTTCTGGCTCACAGTATGAGCTGGAGGAACTTATACAGGTCAGGGACATAGCTTCTTTCTCACTGCTTCACCATCCCCAAGGATGTTGTCCTCACTTATGTTGTTAAAGCTAAATTGTCATGACATCCATATTACAGCCAAAATCCAGAGACAGATACTTGTCTTTTAAGTAGGAAGTACCTCAGTGGTATACATAGTATACATATCAGTTTGGCTCTTTTCTCTTTCTTTTGTTTTTGTTTTTGTTGTTGTTGTTGTTGTTGTTGTTGTTTTGAGACAGAGTCTTACTCTGTTGCCCAGGCTGGAGAGCAGTGGCACAATCCCGGCTCACTGCAACCTCCACCCTCTTGGTTCAAGCAATCCTCCCACCTCAGCCTGTCCAGTAGCTGGGATTACAGGCGTGTGCCACCACACCCAGCTAATCTTTGTATTTTTTGTAGAGACAGGGTTTCTTCATGTTGCCCAGGCTGGTATCGAACTCCTGAGCTCAAGCAATTCACCCACCCCAGCCTCCCAAAGTGCAGGGATTACAGGCATCAGTCATTGAGCCTGGCCTGGCTCACTTCCTATTTGCCAAAATTTGTCATAAGTCCACATCCAGCTGGAAAGAAAGCTGGAGAATAAGCAGTTTCCTAACACACTCTGATCACTCAAATAACTGTACTGTGCATTCCCTTTCTCTCCCTCACACAGAACACACTCAACTTCTCCCCTAAAATTGACAGCCCAGGGTCCTATCTGGCTATTGCACCCAACTTTAAGTCCAAAATATCTGGGCAATATGCAGCCACCTGCACCAAACCTGGATGTGTCTCCCAGTGAACAAGTTACCAACCCATTCCCTCCCCAACCCTTCCCCTGCCTCCACCCATCCCTGTACCCATATCTTCAATAAACATTGGTGGATGAGACTGGATACACACAGTAGAAAAAAGTTTCTCGGAAAAAAGGAGAAACAAAATACGCATCAGCCGCTAGTCATTAGTGATGGAGTTTTGCCTACTACAGGTGGTAGAGATCCTGCCGGTATCCCCATGGGTCTGAAGCAATTTCAGTCCTTGCCTCCTCAGAAGAAAGAATTCGACTGAGGGGAATAAAGCAGAAAAAGAGACTGAGGCAAGCTTCAGAACAGGAGTGGAGGTTTATTTAAAAAGGGCCTTGCCCCGCATGTGGAGTACTTTCCTTGGGGTTAGTATTTAGTTCTGGGTTCTGGGAGGAAGTTCCTTGTCCACTGTCACCTAAGTCTGTGGCTTTACCTTGGAGTGGTTCTGCCTTGCCCCTTGTTCTCCTTGCCCTCATCTGAGTCTGGAAACATTCCTTCCTTACGCTTCCTTCAGGGATGCCCCGCTCCGTTCACACTACTTCCTACTAGTGCAGTTTTAAAAGCCTGAGGATTGTATTAGGTTGAACAATAACAGAACTGTGGTTTGCTTGGCAATAACATTTACCCAAATACATGGTAGGTTTCTAGTCTATTGGATTCGGGTCTGATTTAATGTGTCAATAACCACCCACAGTATCTTTACTGGTCATACTACTTAAACTCTCCTTATTTTCTGGCTTCAGAGTTTAACCGTCACTCTCTTCCCACTTCACAGGCAATTCCCTTGAGGCTATCTGACACAACAGGCTCAATCTGATCTTTTTTGCTGAATCTAACACCCTGGTTTGATTGGGAATCTTTTGATGAGAGGCCACTGAAGAACACTCTTAGTAACACCTTATCTCCCACCTTCGCGGGATTCAGAGTAGTTGAACCACATGGTTCTTCTTTTTTCCAGCTATTCTTGCAAATTGGTCAGTTTTTGCCTGGGCTCATTTCTTTCTTATAATAACCCATGGAAAGCAACAAAGAGCAGCCAACATACAAATATTCTGGCTTTTTGACTGCTTTCCCTAGGGCTCACAATTAGACATGTGGCCTTCTTTCCAAGTAATTGCAGATGACAATTTTACCAAATATTGCCTTGACATTACAAGCTTCATCAGCTTTCCGATATCTGCAACATCCATTTTTTAATTGTCAATATCTCAAGCAATGCCACATAGGGAAGGCTTTTATAATGTTAGGTACCAATATCTGTATTAGCTGGAATAATAATTACATTGCTAAAACAAAAACACCAAAAATATGTGACTTCAAAAAGATTCCCTTTGGAGGGCGGATCACTCGGGGTCAGGAGTTTGAGACCAGCCTGGCCAACATGGTGAAACCTCATCTCTACTAAAAATACAAAAATTAGCTGGGTGTGGTGGCACTGCCTGTAATCCCAGCTGCTGGATTTTAGCCGAGATCATGCCACTTCACTTCAGCCTCGGCAACAGAGCAAGATTCAATCTTAAAAAAAAGAAAAAAAAAAGGCCAG